AGAACCAACCTCTCTTTTCAGAGAGAGAGAGCAAAATGTAATTATTTTCTTAAAATAAAAGTAACTTTGTATTTTTGATCGTTGTAAAAATAATTTTAAAAATGAAGAAAATATGCAAACTATATTTTTAAATTAATTAATGTATTTCTTCCATTAGTAAGAGACACTGCACCCTCAACAGAGCCTTGATATTTCAATCCATCCCCAACCAGTAACAAATCTCTGGCGCACACGTACCTGGGGTCATCTGGAAGGTCTTTGGATGTGAGCATGTTAGTTCACATAGTTATAATTAGAACATAAGCTCTAAAAATTAATTACTAAATTTTATCCCATACATTAAAAACCATCAATAATAAAGATCTCCAAAAGAATAGAAATAGTGGGAACCAGCAGTTAGCGTAATGGCTATGTCACTGGACTCCCACATAGTTGACCGTGGTTTGCGTCCCAAACCCAGTGGCTTAAAACTCACGCCGGGCAGAGAATGGAGGAGAAGGGATTGCGGCGTGACCATCCCCCCTGGGGGGTGATTTCTATCTTTCTGTCTCTATGTCTCTGCCTGTCTGGCGAGCGCACGCGCCCTATAGCGAAAACCTCTCCAGAAAAAAAAAAAAGAATAGCAATAGTTTTCTAATTGCTTTTTGTGTCCATATGGTAACATATTATCTAGCCAATTTAATATGCATACATAATTTTAATCAGATCAAGCACGTTTATAATTTTATTTGAAATGTATCTTTGTATGGGTACAATTTTATAACAGTTTGTAAATAGAAACATTCAAAACAAATGAGCAAAACATTGTTAATTATTGCTAACTATTGCTTATGTAAAGATTGCTCACAGTGTTACAAAAATGTTTAAGTTTTTGTTTTCTAGCTAACATCCGTCTGTATTATAAACACATAAATCTAGTAATTGTGTTCATAATAGTTATTCATAGTGCTGAGTGATTTTCTGGAATATTCCCATTTGTATTTTCTAGAATATTCCTATAGTCTTTGTTCAAATCACTGGTTCGGGTTGGGAAACAGTTTCTATCAAGTTTCCAATGAACCCAAAACCTGGCCAGAAAGTCATGCTGCCTGTGCAGAACTGAATTCCCATCTGTTGAAGATAGACATTCAAGAAGAGCTGGTAGGAAAGACACTTTCACTTCTCTGTTATAGTGTAACCATATTTCATTGGGGAATAGTAGTGATGGATAAACTTTAGAGCAAACCATCACTATTCTAAAAAATATTAGATATTGTCCCACTTTAATTTAATTTTGGGGGGTAAAAATTATCATTAGGCTATCTACTACAGCTACAAGTAATTTTAAAAAATGAGATAATATCTTGAGAAAAAACTTATTAATACTGAGTCAATGTGTACAAAACATTGGGAAATGATTATCACTAATTCTAGACTCAGGAAGAAGTAATTATATACATATTTCTGGTTTATGATTTTTTTTTTCCCCAATAGGAAAGCTTATCAGTGTTTGACATAGAAGGATGGATAGGTCTCAAAATGTGTAACCCCAATGGATCCTGGTTATGGGAAGATGGCACCAAAGTGGCCCAAAGCCTGTAAGTGCTAAAGTTTTCTGAGACTATGTGGGGGGGAAAAACATTGGGATATTAAAAATGTAGGGCACAGAAAGAGCAAGAAAGAAAAAGGAAAGATTCATAGTACATGAGGATTAGGTTGTAGGAAATAATTGGTTAAATGTTGACTGCCCTTTCTAAACAATCTCACTTCTATGAAATTAATATTTTTAACTTTACTGGACTCTAATGATAAATTTTTGTATAACTTAGGTAAGTTTATGTATCTATTACCTTCTATCATACCTAATTGTTATTTTATTTATAATACTACTTGAACAAATAGAATATCTAATATTTTCTGTTAAGCTTTATAACACTACTTGAACAAATAGAATATCTAATATTTTCTGTTAAGCTTAAAGTATTATAATTAAAGATCATCAGTCCTCAGGATGTTTTCTTCTATTCTTATTTAAATTTGCTTTTTGTTATTTTATTCTTTTTTTGCTTTTATTTGTCCTTAGTAGTATTAAAGTCATTCTTTCTAATATTAATTAAGATAAAATTGGCATGTGCAGATATGATACCTTGGTTTTTTCTTCCATGTTGTCTTTACTGTTTCTACACAGAGTGACAGTTCTGAACACGAAGAATCATTGTTGTGCATACATAAATGGAATCAGTACTTATGAAGAGGATTGTACATCTAAGAAAAAGTATATCTGTGAATTAAGTATATAATTGCATCCATTTTACTAACAAATCCTGTCATTAAATCCTAAATAATAAAGTATTTACAAATACAGTTTATTTGTTGATTTTATAAAATTCTATAAATTAGTGCTTATTTTTTAGTGAGCAGAATGTATTAAACTTGTTGATTTTTTAAAATTACATTGGAAGTGAAAAAAATTACTATCTGCAGATTTCTTGGGGGTAATTTTCTTCCCTACTGCAGTTCACATATATTTTTTATTGCCAGAGTGCACATGCACTGGCCCAAAAGAAGTAGAGAGACAGAGAGAGTGAAAGAGAGGTGGAAAGCATACCTGACTGGGGCATGGTCACTTCACAATCCTTTCTCCTACATTTCTCTAGTCTGGCACGATTTGGGTCACCCGTGCACATGTACCTGGTGTGTTTCCCAAACCACTAGGGCAGTGATCTGAACCATAGCCAGCCATGTGAAATCTCGCTTCCTCAACCACTAGGTCACAAGGCTGGACCAGCTCATACATATTTCTTATTGTGGTTTCTGGTTTAGATACATTCAATGTTTATCTTTGTGGGATACAGTATGGTGTTTGTTTATGCACTGAAACATGCATACAGTGTTTAATAATCAAATCAAGAATATATACACACCATCTTCTTCCACATTTAGTATCACATAATGTTTTACACATTTGATAATTGTTCTATAACATACCATGTCATAATGGGGGAATGAGTAACTACCTGTAGAGAAGCAAATACTTCTCTTCAGAAACCACGAAAGAAGAGACTAGAATAAGATAACTAAAATGTTTAAAGGGGAAAAACAAACAAGAATTTTGTAATCAGTTAAATTATTCTTCAAGACTGAAGGCAAAGTAGACTCTTAAACAACAAAAAGGAAATTTCTGGACAGTTTGCCTGCCTTGCATAACATATTTCATTAAGTTTTTAAAAAGGAAAATTATGTAGGCCAGAAACTAGCATCTATATAAAGAAAGCAAGTATATTGTATTTTAAGTTTGTAAATATCTTCCATGAGAGAGAGCACACACCCCAACAGAACCTTGATACTGTGCTCCATCCCCAGCTTCACCCAATTCAAGGTATGGATGTGAGCATGTCTGTTGCTTTAAGGGAGGATACTAGATGCAAACTCAGAACCTTCCCATGTGAGTCAGCCTCAAAAAGCATCATATTTTATCACTGCATCTCCATGTAGTCCTAGGTTTCTTATTCTTAATTGACCTAACAGACAATTTGGTAAAAACTCTAGTAACAACAAAATAAATGAATGCTACAAGTTATGGAAAAAGGGAATTAGGAATACCTGGTTAGAAATATTTGCACTACCTGTGAAATAGGGGAGTGCTATTTGAAAATGGACAAGAATTAGTTGTAAATATGTACTGTAAACTCTAGGGCAATTAATAAAAGGTAAAATGAATAAACTATAGTTGCTATGCTAAGAGAGGAGAGAAAATATATAAAATGCTCAATTAAAATCAAAGAAAACAGGTCCAGCAAGTGGCATGGTGGTTAAGGTGCTGGATCCCACATCACTGACACTCTGACACTGAAGTTTGAGTCCCAGAACTGGTGACTTGAAAAACACGCTGGATACATGTGTATGTAATCCCAAAATCTTGTGAGGAGAATGGAGGAGAAAGGGTTGAAGGTGGCCAAATCTTTGGGTGGGGAGGAGATTTCTTACTTTCTCTGTCTCTCTCTGGTGAGTGCACATGCCCTACAGCAAGAACAAAAAAATAAAATAAAATGAGCAGATGTAGGCCCGGAGGTGGTGTGTTGGTTGGGGAGCTGGACTTCCACATGGCCAACCAAGGTTCAAGTCCTAGACCTGGTGGTTTGGGAATCACACTGGACACATGTACATGCATGCCCAGAATCCCGGGAGAAAAAGGGATTGCAGAATGGCCCTCCTGCAATCACAGGGAATGATTCCTCATTTTCCCTCTCATTGTCTCTCTCTGTCTTTCTTCTCTGGCAAGTACACACCCCCTTTTGGCAAAATTCTTAAACAAAACAACAACAATGACAGAGAAAAATTGAAAAACAAAAAAAGGAACAAAGATCAAGGATAATAGTAGAAAACAGTTACAAATGTAGTATATATTAATCCAACTATGCCAAAAACCACTTTAAATGTTAATGATCTAAATATACCAATACATCACAGAGACTATCAGAGTGGATGTTAAAACAAAATATAACTAAATGATGCCTATAAGAAACCAACTTTCGACTGCATTTCAAGACCCAGACCTGGTGGCTTAAACTCACACCAGACACCTGTGCATGCGTGCCCAAGATCCCGAGAGGCGAATGGAGGAGAAGGGATTGTGGCATGGCCATCCCCCAGTGGGTTGATTTCTTACTTTCTGTCTCTCCGTCTCTCTCTGTCTTTCTGGCGAGCACACGTACCCTATAGCAAAAACCTCTCAAAAAAAAAAAAAGCTGTGATTTTTTTTTTGAATTATTTTATTTAACTTTATTTATTTTTTTTAATTTGACCAGAGAGTGAGAGAGAGTGAGAAAGAAAGCCTCCCACCAGATCTGGGACTTGAACCATGGTTGGCCATGTTGGAGTCCAGCACCCTCACCCACCATGCCACCTGCCACCCCCTCAAGGATTCAATTCTTCAAGAAGGCATAACAATCCCTAATATGTATGTACCTAACAATGGAGCAACAGTATGTATGGCAAATACTGACAAAATTGCATGAAGAAATGGGTGTATCCATTATTACATTTGACAATTTCAAAACCCATCAATCAATAATTGATAGACCTAGTGGGCAGAAAAATCAGTAAGGGTATAGTTGAAATGAGAACACTGTAAATCAATAGATCTAATTGACATCTGTAGACTTCTTTATCCAGTGACAGTAGATTACTCAAGTTCACACACAGAGCATTTACCAGGACAGTGGAATTAACCAAGTATTTGAGAAAGGTTAATAGATAAATCATCTATTTTCTGAATTTCAATAAGAAGAAATGGATTAAACAACCACTTAGGCGCTGCTCTTGAAAGCCAAATTATCTGAAATATAAGAAACATTAAAATTAAAAGAAAAAAATTAAAACATAGAAAATGACATCTCTTTTATATGAAATTCTAGAAGCACATAGGTTTTGCCTGTATTATGCTCCCCAAATCACACTCAGCCAAAAGACCCTAAAAAAGAGTACATAATGTAAAAATCACAAAAAGGCAGCACACCAGAAAGAAAATAGGCTTTCTCCCAATGAAACTGGAATAAGTAGATAACCAAATAAAAAAAAAATCAACTTAGATCCATACTTTGCATCATAAAAAGATAACTCAAATTGATCAGAAACCTCATAAAATCTAAACATATGAAACTTCTAAGAGCAAATCCTCATGACACCAGCTTGGACAATAATTTCTTAAATTTATGTGATGTCAAAAATGCACACAAGGGAACCAGCAGTTAGTGTAATGGCTATGTCACTGGACTCCCACATAGTCGACCGCGGTTCGCGTCCTGGACCCGGTGGCTTAAAACTCACGCCGGGCGCGTGTGCGTGCGTGCCCAAGATCCCGAGAGAAGAATGGAGGAGAAGGAATTGCGGCGTGACCATCCCCCCTGGGGGGTGATTTCTCGCTTTCTGTCTCTAATGTCTCTCTCTGTCTGGCGAGCGCACGTGCCCTATAGTGAAAATCTCTCCAAAAAAAAAAAATCCACACAAGAATAAATCAATAAATTAGACTTTATCAAAATCAAAATAGTTTTACAAAATACACTACTAAGAGAATGAAAAGATAACTCTGAGAGAAACTCTTTAGGTTGACTCTGTTTCGTGGCTATTATGAATAGAACTGCAATAAACATAGGAGTGCAGATATCTGTGACATACTGATTTCCTTTTCTTTGGATAGATTACCAATAAGGGGATTGCTGGGTCATACATAGTTCTACTTTTAACTTTTTTGAGGAATCTTCCTACTCTTTTTCATAATGGCTACATTAATTTAGATACACACCAACAGTGTGCTAGTATGTTTTGGGAGTATAGAAATACTACTGACCTCTTATGTTGCTTTAGTATCCTGCAATTTTAGTATATTTGTTTATTAGTTCTAAGAGTTTTTGCTTAAGGTTATTAATGAGAGAGACAGAAAGAGAAAAAGAGAGAGATATAGAAACCTTCAACACAGTTATTTACATAACAATCTACCCCTAGTCTTAACCAGCCCAAACTCAGAGAGGTCCCAGGATGCAAATCCAGGATCTTTCTCATGTGGCTCTGGTCACATTACTACATCAATTTAAGAGATTTTAAGGATTATTTAGGTTTTTCTATATATAAAATCATGTCATCTATAAACGGCGACAACTTAACTTCCTCCTTTCCAATTTGGATGCCCTTTATTTTATTCAATTGCTTGTTTTTTTCTAGTAAGTACTGCCAACATAATGTTGAATAGAAGTAGTAAAAGTGGACATCCTTGTCTTGTCCCAGTTCTCAAAGGAAAGGTGTTCAACTTTTCCCTGTTCAGTGTGATGATTGCTATGTGTTTGTTGTATATGACTTTATTGTGTCAAGATACATTCCTTCTATATTTGTTGAGGGTTTACATCATGAAGGGATGTTGAATTTTATTAAATGCTTTGTGACTGTTGAAATAATTTTTATGTTTTTTGTTTCTCATTATGTCTATGCAATATATCACATTTATTGATTTGTGTATGTTGAAAAAAGTATTTCAACCTTGGGATAAATACCTTCTGAAAATGGTAGATATTTTTGATATGATGTTTTATTTTAGCTTTCTAGTGTTTTGTTGAGGAATTTTACATCTATGTTCATCAGAGATACTCATCCTCAGTGGGTGTCTGTATTTGTGTGTGTGTGTATTCTTGCCTAATTTGGTATTAGTATAATATTGGCTTCATATAATGAGTTTGGGAACATTATCACCCACTGAAAATTTTGGACTACTTTGAGAAAAATTAGTGTTAGCTCTTCTTTACAAATTTTTTAGATTTTTATTACTGATTCAATCTC